GCGGACATCACAGTGCATGTACATAAACCCAGGCCATATGGTTACCACCCCTGTGAAAGTGCTCCATCATCTACCAAAACGTTGTTATGTAGTGCATTACTGTAGTGGAGAAAAAAGTCTACCCTATTTCACAACATTATTTCAGGGCTTATTACCCAAGTAACTATGTGGTATTGGCAAAGGGACAGACACACAGATCAATGGAACAGAATAGATATGAAACAGATATCCAGAAACAGATATGTCCAGAAATAGATATGATTTTTGAAAAAGATACAAAAGCAAAAGCAATTCAGTGGAGGACACTTCTCAAAAAATGGTGCTGGAACAACTAACTGGACATCCATCCACAGGCAAAAAAACAAAACTACCAAACAAAAAACCCTTGAACTAAACTAAACCTTCACTTCTTTTATCTCAAAATGGATTATAGAATTAAATGTAAAACATAAAACCATAAAACTATTAGTGTAAAACACAAGAGAAAATCTTTGGGATCTAGAGCTATTCAGAGTTCTCAGACTTGACACCCAAAGCAGGATCCATAAAAGGAAAAACTGATAAACTGGACTTTATCAAAATTAAAAACTTTTGTGATGTAAAAGACACTTGTGTTATACTGTGATTTATAAGAAATATACCTTTGGTCTTCTTCCAATGTTTCTGGCAAGGAGTTCCTAAAACCCTTGGAATTTCTTAAGTGAGGAGAGCAATTAAGGTGCCTCTTGTTATGTTAATGAGGTGACTCTGGGACCCCCTCACCTAGGGATGAGGGCTGGTTGCCAGGAGAACCAGAGGGTTAGAAATTTCAGTCCTGCCTTAAAGAGACAAGGGTTGGGGGTTGAATCCAATCACCAATGTTAATTTAATCAATCATACCCGTTCAATGAATCCTCCATAAAACCCCCAAAGGACAGGGTTCAGAGAACCTCTAGGTTGGTGAACATGTGGAGATTCGGTGAGAGCTAGAGTGGCACCCCTGGACAGGGCATGGAAGCTGCAGGCCCTTTCCCCATACCTCGTCCTATGCATCTCTTCCATCTGGCTGTTCCTAAGTTCCTGGTTTATAATAAACCAGTGAACTAGTGAGTCAACGGGTTTCCTGAATTCTATAAACCACTCTAGGAAATTAATTGGCCCCAAAGAGGGAGACGCAGGAAACTCCAATCTGCAGCCAGTCTATCAGAGGCACAGGTGACAACCTGGGCTTGTGACTGGCATCCGAAGTTGGGGGGTGGGGCGGGGCAGTCTTGCAGGACTGAGCCCTTTACCTGGGGAATCTGATGCTATCCCCAGGTAGGTAATGTCAGAACTGAGTTGAATGGTAGGACACCCAGCTGGTGTCCTAGAATTGCTTGTTGGTGTGGAGGGGAAATCCCCACCCCACACACATGCTGGAATCCTTTCACTCTGTTAAACAGATGAAAAGACAAGCTACAGATTGGGAGAAAATATTTGCAAATCACATGTTTGACAAAGGCCCAGTATGTAGACTACATACAGGGCTCCCAAAACTCAACAGCAAAAAAGCAGACAATCCAATTAGATAGAACACGAGCAAAGATATAAAGAGATGTTTTACAGATGATATGCAGGTGGTAAATAAGCACATGCAAAGATGTCCAATGTCTTTAGCCATCAAGGGAAAAGTAAAGTAAAACTACAACGAGACATCACTACACATTTATCAGAAATGCTAAAATAAAAGTAGTGACAATACCAAATATTGGTGACGATGCAAAAAGAACCCCCAAAACTGAATCACTTATTACTGGTGTGGATGGAAAAGGGGCTGCAGATTAAACCTGACAAACTCAGGAGACTGAAAATAACCATATATGATGGCATGAGTTAAAAAAAAAAAATTTTCATAACTAAGTGGGCCACTGCGGGAAGTCACACATTAACTGCCTTCATTAAATTAATCTGTGCCTTTTCAGTGGGCCTGTTTGTTGTCTTTCTGTACCTAAGATAACATCTTGAATCCTTTTTCCAGACCAGAGCTGGAAACTGCAAAATTCCTCATTACTATACTTGTCTCCTGACGACCATCTCTTCGTGCTGTAAAAAGCGAACTGTTAGCTGTCCTGCACCCACCTACGTAAAAGAAGTACCTGTCTCTCCAATTTACTTTTATCCAATCCCAGAGATTTCCCCACTTTGCTTTCTCCCACCCCCTTAACCTATCGCCAATGGATTTCATGTAACCTTCCTCCTTTGATTTTATGTATAAAATAAGCTGTAAAACTGCCATTCTTCACAGCATTTTCTCAATCCGTTGAGATTTTGCTTCCTGGCAACTGTCGACAGTTTGGCTCAAACAAACTCTATAAATTTTCTCTTAGGCTGGATGTTTTTTGTCAACACCGGCAAAAATGTAAAATAGCACAGCCACTCTGGAGAAACAGTTTGGCAGTTTCTTTAAAAAACTAAATACAAAACTAACATATGACTGACTCACTAATTGCACTCCTGGACATTTATCCTAGAACAATGAAGCTTACGTTCACACAGTAACCTGTAAACAGAATGTTCACAGCAGCTTCATCAGTAAAAACCAAATAATGGAAACGACCCCAATATCCTTCACCAGGTGAGCTGTTACACAAATCATGGTACTTCTGTACCGTGGAATGCCACTCACCAATATACAGGAGCAAACATGCAATAATCTAGGTGAATCTGCAAAGAATTAACCCAAGTGAAAAAACTTATCTTAAAAAGCTACTACAGGGCCAGCCGAGTGGCTCAGTTGGTTAAGAGTTGAAGTAAGAGCACGAGCTCTGAGCAACAGGGCCACTGATTTGATTCCCACATGGGCCAGTGAGGCTGTGCCCAAGCTGAGCTATCACTGAGCTGCCAACAGGTGGCAGGATGGCTCAGCTGGTGTAACAGGATTGCCTGTTAGGTGGTAAATGAAGCATTCAATATATTTGTGAAAACATATATTGTCAAATGTCAAAAACTTGAACCAATAAAACACAACAGTAGCTGCCTCTGGGATGAGAAAGGGGCTACAAGAGGAATAAAGAGGGTCTTAATTCTATAATGTTCTATTTCTTTTGCATTAAAAAGCTGACACAAAAGTAACAAAATTTTAATTGTTCAGTACATTAATACGCTTTGCCACATTTTATATTTTTATCAAATTTAAAAGCATAAAATAAACTAGGCTTACCCTAGGGAAATGTAACAGAAGAAGGCAGCTGCAGCTCACATTTCCCTGACCTCCATTTTAATCCAGCAAACCCAGACCACACAGAAAAAAACTTTTCAGAGAACCATTTATAAAGCTGTTTGTTCAATATGGTTTTATATACATTTGTAAATGTATTATTTGTATTTCTCCATTTAATTTGTTTTGTGATATGAAATAGATTTACAGGAATAAAAACCTCATTTTATAACTGTATTTTTAAGAAATAAGAGTGCAGGGCTGGCCAAGTGGCTCAGTTAGTTAAGAGTTAGCTTAAGAGCGCGAGCTCTGAGCAACAGGGCCGCCGGTTTGATTCCCTCATGGGCCAGTGACAATGCGCCTGAGCTGAGCTGCCGCTGAGCTGCCAACAGGAGGCAGAATGGCTTAGCTGGTGTAACAACAAGACTGCCTGTTCAATGGTGGCCTACGCTGGTCCGCAACTAAGCCTGAACTCGGTACCTTGAGCTGAGCTGCCGCCAGGATGGCTCAGTGGATAGAGCGTGCGCTCTTAACAACAAGGCTGCTGGTTCAACTCCAGCATGGGATGGTGGCTACGCCCACCTGCAACTAATATTGAACACAGCACCTTGAGCTTAGAGGCTATGAGCTGCCAATGGGCAGCCAGATGGCGACTGGCGCCCTCCACAACGAAGATTGAAGAACAACTTGGCTGGTCCCCCTCCCCCAATTCCCCAATTTAAAAAAAAAAGAAAAAGAAAAAAAGAAAGAAGAGTGCAATTCACGAAGACTTTTGTTATGTGACCTTTTTAGGAATTAATTATAAAGTATACTATAAGACTGGAAGAATCACTTAAGTGATAAAACATTTATAGGTATTGACATATTATTAAAATGTGACTTTTAATCTTCCTGGTCTAAAAAAAATATTTCCCGATAGTTCTTTTTTTTTTGAAGATTTTATTGGAGAATTGGGGGAGGGGAACAGCACTGGGGAATCGGGGGAAGGGGAACAGACAAGTTGCCGTTGTTTTGTTCTTCAGTCTAGTTGTGGAGGATGCTTCTTCACTGGCCCAAGCTGGCACCATCACTGCGCTCTTCCCGGGCGAGGCAGATAAGTCGCCGGCTTCTGGACAGCCGCTCATGCTGGCTGCCAGCTACACATGGTAGCTTATGGCAGCCCACTGCAGCAGGGGACTGCAGCCTACGCCGTCACCGGCGACCCACACAGCCTAGCTCTAGGTTGAGCTGTTGTTCAGCATCTTAGCTGTAGAGGGCAGTGTCACTGGCCCTCATATGTGAGATCCGAACCAGGGCCCTCTGGCATCCCAAGCCAGTTCTTACCCAACGTGCCACTCGGCCGGCCCTCCCAATAGTTCTTAATGGATTAATTAGTCCCCAATTCTAATATATTCAGGAAGTCCTCATAAACCAAGTTTTTTTAAAAAATGATCAAATATTTAAGTTTATTAACATGTCCAAATTCTCTTACTGTTCTCTACACTTTGTTAGACTCCATTTCTTGAAATTTGAACATAAGGAAAAAAGCTGTTTATAGCATGATGACATAACTAAAGTATAACCTCAGTAATGTATCACCAGGGCATAGAGGCGAATGAAACAAAGGCTGGCAAAGCAAGGCTAAGCTTGGGGTAAGAAAATGCAAAGACTAGTAGACAGTTTACAGGTGGAGGAAAGAGATAACCACTTGGATGTACCTAAGGAACTGATGAAGTTTGGGGGAGAGTGAGCCTCCAAATCCCCTGACAAAAGATTCCCTCTTATGACTTCTTTAGACTTACAGACATATATACAAACCGAAAGAAGTAAACATGGGAAGTCATACCTTTCAGGCCTAAAGTCTGCAACTGAAACAGTTTTCCCAGCTCAAAAGGTAGAACTCGTAACTGGTTGTTATTTAAATGGAGTTCCCTGTTGATGTAAAATTCCAGGAAGTCAGAAGATATAATAATCTTTAATAGCTAAAATCAACAATAGAATTTCTAGGAATATAAGCTCCTAAGAACTACAAAATTTTATATTATACTCCAATGTCTAGTACAGTGCTTCTCAAATCATACGTGGTAAAAAACAAAACACAACAATCAAAATCCCCAACTTCTTACACACCAATACATTTGTAAAATACAGGAAAACAATGAATTACTAGACAAATAAAATGAGAGAAAAAGACCAAGAAAATACAATCCCCAGTTCTGTAAGAGTATTAGATTCAAGAGATACAAAACCACTCTCACATGCCATGTATCTCACTGCAGGCTGGACCACAGACCACACTGAGAGGGGCCCTAGCACACATAGGGTCTATTACACATGTTTAAGTGGGAATGATGGATTATAGAACTGTACACTTGAAACTTATGTAATTTTACTAATCACTGTCACCCCAATAAATTTAATAACAAACAAAAAACCAAAGGCCTTCAACACTAAAAAAAAAAGAAAAAAAAAAGATAAAACAGCCTATATGTGAATTGTTAAAATGAAAACGATCATGTAGTGCTAACTCAAAATTGCTTATAATAGCTACACAATTAACTTTATGATTAACACTGTTCCAAATGTACTGAAGTTTCATTTTAGAAATACAAGCAATTATATTAACTACTAATGATTATTTAATTATATGCTTCGTACAGATAACCATAATATAAATATCAAAGGATTCTCCAGTAGGGAAAAAAGACCCAACCTTGAGATGCTGGCAATTTCCTACAAGAAGTTTTATTTATCAACTTTCACATGTGAACGAGAACTATTTCTTTAATCGTTGTTTCTTGGAATTTTAATGAACCTTGGTTACTATTGAGTAAACCAGAGCTTATGAGGCCATAAAATGAAAAAGAAAAACATTCTGAATCATTGGTTCCTGTTTATTTCCAAATATATCACATTGAAAAGGAGGTCCTTTAAGTAAATTTGTTTCAGGGGATTAAAAATGGTCTTAGTACATACTCAATAACTAAGCCTAAAAAAATGTCAAAAGGCTGGACAGGGCAACAGACGTAAAGAAACTCTCACGAGGTCCTTATTCCTTTTTACTATGAGGCAAATGAAAGGCAGCAGAAAAGCCAGTGGAACCACAGAGAAAAGGCAGGTAATATGAATCAGGGCAAGGTTTTCCACTGGGATTAACCTAACAGCTGGAAATTGACTTGATATTCAACTTGGGTAGATCTCATCTACCTTATAAAACAAAGGTAATAAAAAAATAGCAATTCATCATTAAATACAATATGTGCCAGGCAGGAGGATGCCACTCTTTTAGTCATTGTCTTAAATATTTCTAATCTCATACTCGGCAGGGTAGGTATTATAGCAACTTCACAGATGAGGTTAAGAAGCTCTCCCCAAATCAGGATCTGGTCTAAACTGTGTGTGACACCGCAGCCTATCCAGGTCCTGTACTCCCACTGTAGGCCCCCAATTCAATCACGAATTGTAGCTTCTTTCAGTCCAGGCTTTATTACTATCGTGCATACAAGCCCTAGAAGGGCCAAAAAGGTTTCACTAGCTGGCAATGGTTTCCTGGGCCCTTTATTAAGGATAGTATGGGGCTCAGAATTTAGTGAGGGGAAGCACGGCAACTGTCTGTCACAGGTAGGTACGTATGTGAGATAATACGAGCTCCTTCTATTTGTTTACCCCCACTCTGTCCAAAAATTCTAGTTCAAGAATAAAGTATATTACACTAAACATGGCAATAAAACAAATTTTAGGCAATGGATCTACTTGTTTATTATTTATTAGTTGACATTCAATTTTCCAAGGACTTTATATAAACGATATAGTTATGTTTACTTTTGGTCACATACTGTCAAATTGACAGTGTTGTTTTCTAACAAAATGAATGCTCTCTTGTTTTGGGGGTGTATACTTAGGCACTAAGTTGAACCTACATACCTGAGTGATACCATGTTTCCGAGTTCTGCCGGTAAACTCTGGATCTGGTTCGAGGACAGGTCCAGATACACCAGATTGTGAAGCTTGGCAATGTCTGAAGGAATGCGGGACAGGAAATTGTCACTCAGATGCAAAGCTGTCAGGTGAGTTAGTGACCACAAAGATGAGCTTAAGCTTCTTACTCTTCCTGTAGGAGGAGAAAAAAATAGTGCAAGGATTAGTGTTCTCTACAGTTTGGTCCCTGCGTTAGAGAACATTTAGATGTTTCGATGAGTAATAATTTACCATACAAAAAGTTGTGACAGGAATAAACAGGAGAAACCTTACCTACTCTAGGGCAATTTGTCGGTATGATTAAGTTATAAACTCTACACTTCAGCAGACTAAAAAACCCCATTCAAGGCAATACATCAATATTTAGATTGTATTATTCTTTTTAAGAGTACAATAGTTAAGACTTTATCCTTTAAAGTGGCCTCAGCTATGACATGAAAAAAAGTATGAATTTATACTAGTGATAAATCCACTATTTCAACATGGTTCATTTGGACTTATGCCAAAGGAAAAAAGAAAAATCAAATCCAGTGTCTCAGAGGCTGTTCATACCTCTGCTCCAGAAAATAAGAATTATGCCTGCAAACAAGCTTAGCAGTTTTAAGACAAGATTATTCAAGTGATGGTTGCATCAAGAATAATGTATGCAAAAAAATGAAACTGGACCACCACCTTATGCCATATACAAGAACAAATTCAAAATGGATTAAAGGCTTAAATGTAAGACCTGAAACCATAAAACTCCTAAAAGAAAATATAGGGTCTAAATTTGCAGACATTACCCTGAGCAATATTTTTACTGATACATCCCCATAGGCAAGGGAAATAAAAGAAAAAATGAACATATGGGACTACATCAAACTTGAAAGTTTTTTTACAACAAAGGAAACCATCAACAAAACAAAAAGGAAGCCTACTGAACGGGAGAAGATGCTTGTCAATGATATATCTGATAAGGGATTAATATCCAAAATTTATAAAACACTCATGCAACTCAACACCAAGAAAACAAACAACCCAATTAAAAAATGGGCAGAGGATATGAAGAGACATTTTTCTAAAGAGGACATTCAGATGGCCAACAGGCATAAGAAAAAATGCTCAACCTCACTAATCATTAGAGAGATGCAAATAAAAACCAACAATGAGATATCACTTCACTCTGGTCAGAATGGCTATCATCAATAAATCAACAAACAACAAATGCTGGCGAGGTTGTGGGGAAAAGGGAACCCTGGTGCACTGTTGGTGGGATTGCAGACTGGTGCAGACACTATGGAAATCAGTATGGAGGTATCTCATAAAAAACTGGAAATGGAACTGCCTTATGACCCAGCAATTCCATTCTTAGGTATTTATTCAGAAAAACCCAAGACATTAATTCGAAAAAACATATGCACCCCTATGTTCATTGCAGCGCTATTCACAATAGCCAAGACTTGGAAACAACCAAAATGCCCATCGGTAGACAACTGGATTAAGAAACTATGGTACATTTACACAATGAAGTATTACTCAGCTATAAAGAAGAAGGAAATAG